GGTTTAGCAATATATAGCTAAAAAAAGCTTACACAATGCATGCACTCCTTAAATAATAGGAGCATTGAAGATGGGGATCATTAAGTTAAAAAAACATTTTGGCTAGAAATTGGATTACATATAAAATGATATTTGCTAGTCACCGCCTATTTTAGCATAAGGAGAGAAGCAAACAGCAAAAATAGCCCCTTTGCTGTCCACGTTCACTGGTCCCATGAAAATGATGATTGTATTTGTTCACTTCAAGATTAAAGAGTGAAGATGTGCAGGTTACTTTTCTTTGAGAGCAAACTAGCTTACTTTTAAGGTCTTACTAATTAACCTTGGATGTTTTTGCTAATAGCAGAGTTCCTATGGCTATATTCAATTGCCTTTGTCATAGGCTGTACTGCATTGTCAGGAGGCCAAGCTGTCTTTTCCTATTACCCTGGATTAGTCCTTAATCTTCAGTGCCTCTTGCTGATTGCCTGACAATTTACAGCGAGTTTCTAATTCCTTTAGAAGTTGGACATTTGTAGCTACTCTTCATATCCTGGTTTTGTACTTTTCATAAACCTCTGTAAACCTCTTTTAATCACTGGCTTTCCTTAACCACAGATTTAAACATTTTTTTTAAAAAAAGACTGCATTTAATTTGAGACCTTTGATTCTTTAAATCTTACTCAGTTTGTTCATTCAAACAAGCAAAGGCCTGACACTTGTGCATATTTGTAGTTCATCACTTCCTGGTCATAGACTGACACACCAGGAAAAAAATGACCTTACATTTTATTGTATTTTGTGTTACTCAGAGTAAGTTAGAAAGTTTGTACCTGATTCAGTGATCATATTCAAAGCCTGGGGAAAGAAAAGGGTCAATATTACCATTTTCTAGATAGAGCATTCTAAGAGTCCAATCTGACCCACTTCTGTCACAAAGAAACAGGCAGTCTGCCCTGCAGCTACTTGCATCTTAGCCTGAAAATAAGGGGGTGGAGTACTCGGATGACATTTTGCAAAATTTGTCCCAAGGACAAGTCACTTACAATTTTTTCCCATATAATGGAAATAAAATTGATAGGTCTCAAAGCTGAGTTGTGGAATGATCCTGGTAAGGCAGTGACCAGTCAGTTTGCAGCTGTTCTTCATCTAAGTTGAAAGTACAGTATAAAAAGTAGGCAGGTTATATTTTTTTTAAGAATGGTTTTTATATGTCCTTTTTTCCTTTTAACCTTACTGTCTGGAACAGATTCTGGCAGATACCTTGGTTGCTCTCCTAGTCCTTTCAGGGTAATATAATTTGTTCTGGAGGGACTGACCAATCTAGATCAGGCTCTGCTTTTGCTGCTTTGGTATGATGGCCTCTTTTCTGTTAAAGATAACATCACGGGCGCACAAGTTGATCCAGATGTAACTGGTCTCTGGCACCCTGTGCATTCACCTTCCTTTGTGAGGAAATCTGTGAAATGTTAATTCAAACACCTGAACATTTCTCATAGCAGCGCAGGTTATTGTTTTTAGGGCAGTAATTCTCAACCAGGATGCCACTGTACCCTGGGCTGCTCTGAAATCTTTTTAAGGGTGCCATGAAATATGAGCACTGTTAAGTTTGCAAAGACCTACACATGATTCACAAGATAAACCTAGACATTTCACGTAGGAATCCATAGCATCCAAAACATTCTGACCTGTTGTGGTCTTTCTGAGTTTTCTGCAAGAGAAGAATTGCTCTATAATTTCTTCCACATTCAAAAAGTGAAAGCTAAGACCTTGCATTTTCTGATGGGTGCTTTGAGTCTAATCAGGTTGAGAACCATTATTTTGGAGGGTGAAGACCATAAAGGTGATAAAGCCCATGTAAGATCTGTCCCAAGAGGTTCAGAAATGAACCAGCAACATAATATTCCCTGTATGTACTGCAGATATTACAGAAATATATGCAGCTTGGCATCAGGGCAGCCATTTGAATCCAATAATGCAGGGCTGTTCTGAAGCATTAGTCTTAGAACTGTCCCAGGATTTCCTGCTTTCATGTTGCTGGTTACTGAGGGCTGAACGCACTGCAATGCCATACGAAGAGTTCTTGAGTACGCATGGCCTCTCAAACACATTTGGAGAGCCCCACTTGTAGCCAAATCATCAGAAGAAGCAGTTGTTAAACATAGGAATCTCAGTGATAGTTCTGGTTTCATTTAAGCTCACACATTGGCAACGTTTCTGAGACTGACACTTCTCCTTCTGCCCTTTCAGCTTGTGTAGCTTGCTTTGCAGATGGCAGGAGAATGCATCCAAGAACAGGCTTTTTTAAAGAAATGATGCAAGTTTTCCACTTCCAAATGAAGCCATCTTTGTGCTCAAAATGTCTCAGGACTTCCCATCAGTACAGTGATAGCCCCAGTTGTTTTGAAGGATCTACCGTGGGTACTGGAGGTGCCTTTACCACATTAGCTTGGTGCTCTTCCTAGGCTAATATGTGGCTATGCTTCTTCCATTACATGAAGTATGCCAGATATCTGTACATGATGCGCTGTTGTGCTGTGTAGACATACTCCATGTGCCCACTATAAATGTGGCTATGTCACCTTGTTCTGTTCCCCATGATGTTGACTCTTACCCCTAGTCCTTTTAGCCTCCTGAGAAAAGATGGACATGGAAACCTTAAAATTGCTTGCCTTTAAAGCTCTCCTTCCTGAAACAATCATCCCTCACAGGATTTACTGCTTTTGTTTTAAACAGTATTTAAAAAGCTGAATGGGGCAAGAAAAGGAAGTAAAAACTAAATTCATAATCTGGTTCACGCTTTCTGCTTCTAGAGTTCCTACTTTAGGATGGTTCAGTCTGTACCCTGTAGTGTGGTTCTGTATTGAGACACTCCTGCTTTCTTCAGATCTGCAGAAGGTGAAGAGCAATTTACAACAGTGGTTCAGGAAAAGTCAGCTGAAGTCTCACTATAAATAGTTTGGGACTAATCAACTTAATGGTACTAGTTTCACAAGCACATGTTTGCCATCTTGAGTGATGGTTGTGTTTTGCAGCAGGGTCTTTTCTTAGGACTGAGCTTTTGAGGGAACCTCCAGTGGCCTGCTAAATCCTGGGATCTGACTACTTTGTTTGCTATTGTAAAACCTGTCTAACCTTTGCAATGTTCCAGATGCATGGGCAGTAAAGAGAAAATTACAGTTTTCTCATTAGCATAACAGTGACTTCTTCAGGAAATGACATTGAAGGTGCTTCTGTTCCATAAGCAATCCCCTGTGGCTGGACACAGCTTTTGAAAATGGCTATCCTTTTTAGGCAGCTACATCTTGCATATAGAATACAAGCTTGTACATTTAATGCCACGTTATGCATTTTTAGTGCCCATATATGGTTCTTACCACTTCCATTCATGGTCTGTACTTGGGGTGCTGCATAAGGACTGCATAATTGTCAGTCTGTACTGAAGAAAAGCCAGTTTCTAAAAGCAATGCAGGTGCTTGCTCTTATCCACTACCTTTTAATGTGTGAGGGTTTTTTGTTTTTGTTTTGGGTTTGTTTTTTTTAACATGTTAGTAGAGCAGAACTCTGTAAGGCTTACGAAGCCTCATGCTCCATCTATCAGACATGGTATCTGAGTATGTATTCAGAAGATCAGATAGCATCCTACTATGCAGTGTTATTTGTGATGTGGCAACTAAATGCAGGCCCCTATGTCTAACTTTTACAGTGTGTGGTTTTAGGTTCATTAATGTGGTTGGGAAAATTTACTATTCAAGAGCAATATAGCAATAGAAAGAGCCCCGTCTTTGAATCAGGTTGGAGTCTGCTTCTTGGCACAGCTGTGAGATGGTGCAGCTCTCTACAAAGAGCACTATATTTAGCTGTTTCCAAGGAGATGTTCTGTGTGATATTGATAATTTCATTAATCCTTGATTTACACAATCTGCAGGGAAGGAAACTGCTCCTTTCCCAGTGTTGGCTTTTTAATCACTCAATGAGCTGTAATTTATAGACACCTTGACTTGAGCCCTATGTATGCCCATATGAGAGTGAAAAATCAATGGTCAAAATAATCCTTGATGACAGAAAGAAGGGAAAATGAACACTGCTTTTTGCATCTTAGGTCTCCTGCCTTGCCTTACCTGTGGTGTTTTGGTTTTGTTTCCATAAATTGTCTTTGTAAAGAATTCCTCCGCAATCATTTGAAGAGATGGCTTGGTGACATCTTTTTGTTTTTGCAATGTCAAAGGCTAAAGGCATTCTTGCCAACTTGGCTTATGCCAGCAGTACTGTTAACATATTCACGGTTGAAAACACAATCCTGTTCAGTGTGCAATTTTCACCATCTAATAGAACATTCTTCCTGCCTTTGGGTTTTGATGGCTTAGTCATCTGTGAGCAATGCTAAAAGTTACAGCAAGGAGAAGATAGGCTTACTGATGGGAACAAATACACTTTTATTTGTGCTGATGAGAGTCTTTCAACCAGTGTCATAAATCTTGACATCGATGTTACATTCACTGGAGAAGAAAAAAGAACATTCACTTAAGCATTTTAGGACAAAAATGTCACACTTGGACCAGTCTTTTTATTCCTGCTGCATTTAGTAACGCATTGTTTTGTATCCTGTGAATATTAAACCCCGTTATTGGCATGCTTCACGGCCAAGTGACCACTAGCTTCAGAAACATGTCTCAGACAAGAAAAACATGCAAGATTTCACCTCTTTGCTATGCCTCGTTTAGCTCAGATTGAAATTAAATGGTACTGGAAATATGGTAAGATTTTAGAGAGCAAACACATTAATAAATGTAAATTATTTTTTAAATGTTCTTTGTGTAAGTTATAGGTCACAAGTCAAAGCCCTTTGTGTATCTGCCCAGTATGCATGCTAAATGAAACGGATTAACATCACTTTGGTACCTGTTGAAATTGTCTGGGATATGTTTCATTTCTGGTTTCCATGCATACCAATGCAGAACTGCAGCTGGTCTTGTTCATTTCACATAAATACTGAGAGACATTGTGCAACTCTTTTACAGAAAAGAAGAAAGGAGAGCACGTCGTTAAAGGAGAAAGGAAATGAGCAGTTTAAGAAACAAGGTGGGTTTAAGATCTTGCAACACACTGCACATGAATTCTCAATTAATGAGTCCTTAGATTAACACTTAAGTGTAAGGGCAGAAACTTTGCTGTACATCTTGCCCACCACTGTTCGCATCGCTATCACTAGTTCTCTTGGAGGGGAAGGTAGTGAGGAGGGGGGGGGTGGGAAGAAGCACCCAAATTAAACAGCAGTATTCTTGAGAGTCCTAGACCATAATCCAGAAAAGGACATAGCTGCCTAAATTCCCTCTAAAATCAGTAGTAAGGTTCACCCCCACTACGAAACTGTTTAAGTGCCTGAAAAGCCATCATTGCTTGGTTTTCCATCACTAACGTTCGCTAGTCACTTAGAGTTCTGCTGCTTTGCTTACCTAGAACTGCCACTGTCTTAGCCACTGAGCTACTCAGCCCTCATCTCATGGATAAGCTGTTGAAATCCTCAAGTGAGGTGTTCCTCTGCCTTAGCACCCTGTGTGACCAAGTCCAGTAGATGTCCTCTGGATGTGCCTGATACATACCAACAGGATTGGTTCCCTACAAAATATTGCTAACAGCCATTTAAATTAAAAATGCGGCTGGTGGTTCTCGTGTCTACCTTATGCAAGTCTAATGGTTAGAGTACTCAGTAAGGAAGTGGGAGATCTGAGGAAAATTCAGTGCCTTCAACCTGAGAGTGTCCAGGAGAGTGCCCTGACCACCAGGGCTATCGTACAGTCAAGAATACAAGATTCGAATAGTCAGAGGGAGTACTAGGGAATATGATCCTTTAGCCCACTGGTAACTGGCAGGGGAGTCCTGGGGTTTAGTCACTATTCAGGACTGTGTACGTATTTTTACATTAACTGTCATGGAATAAAATGTACCTTGGGCAGCTGAGAGAGTTTAAGTTAGGAGGGAGGTGGGATTTTGGATTCATTCCTCCTTTTCAGAATTTTCTGTTGCTAGTTTAAGCATCACCCAGCTCAGCGTGCTGGCTCTTGAGAATCCTATTTTTTGCACTTAATTGTCCTGCACTGTATAACACAGGTTAGTCTTTGGCCCCTGGGCTCCCATGGTCCATTCTTATGGTTAGGTACCTGCAGGTATGGTCCCATGAGGAGAGACTGAGGGATCTGGATCTCTTCAGCCTCTACAAGGGAAGGCTGAGATGTGATCTAGTGGCTGTCTAGAAATTTGCTGGGGGGGAGGGGGCAGGAAGGAATAGGAGATACCAAGGTACCCCTTGGATTAACTAGAAACAAAGATCACAAACTGGTTATTTCCAAGAGAAGTGGTGCTGGCTCATATCCTGGGGGTCTTTCAGAGGAGGCTGGATGAACACCTTGCCAGGGTCGTCTCACCCCAGTACTCTTTCCTGCCATGGCAGGGGGTTGAACTTGATGATCTGCTCAGGTCCCTTCCATCCTTACCTACTATGAAACTGAAAGAGAGCAGATTTAGATTAGACATTAGGAGGAACTTCCTCATGGTAAGGGTTACCAGAATCTGGAACGGCTTCCAAGGGAGGATGTGCTCTCCCCTACCTCGAGGGTCTTTAAGAGGAGACTGGACAAGCACCTGGCTGGGGTTGTCTGACCCCAGCGCTCTTTTCTGCCCAGGGTATGGGACTGGACTCAATGATCTATTGAGGTCCCTTCCAACCTTAAAAACCTATGAAAACTATGTAACTCCCACTGACGTTTACTCGAGTTCCAGCAGCAGCCAGAGTCTCCAGCCTCCTTCCCTCCCCCCCCTCCCCTTGGTTTTGCTTCCTGCCCCCACACCAGGGGGTGAGGCAGCATGGCACACCCACGGTGCTAAGATAGCTTGCAGCCTGGGGTGCCTGTATATCATGGTGCAACAAGGGGAGCCAGAGCCAGGTCACTGAGGGTGGGGGCCTGTGCAGCATGGAGGCATCCACATGGTTTGCTGCCCGGTGGTCCCATAACTTGCACTAGTATAGCCATGTAACTTGCAGCCCTTGCTACTGCAGCTTGCAAGACATGGAGCCCCCAGTCGCATACAAGTGGGACAGCCTTGACTTAGACTAATGATCCCACGTAAATGGATACTTGCCAGCAATTAATGGTTGTTTTCTTTCTAGGCAGCTCACTAGAGAGTTTTCTAATCTGACTGATACTTTGATGTTATGTATAATGAAAATGGCTCATTCCAAGTGGTTATATGAAGAAACCCTGTTGTGCTGCTGCCTTTGGGATATCTGACATCAAAATAGTAACATGCATCATCTTTCATGAGCACCCCTCTTTGATAATGCTTCAATGCATGATCTAGACAAGAATGGTGCTATTTTTTAAAATAGGTTCTAGCATCTATATCCATGTCAGGAGTCTTTTCTAGGGCTCTGAAAGGAGATGCCAGTGTCCCATCATATTTCAGCCTAATTTTTCACAGTTCGGGACTGGAATGATGTATCTACTTTTTCTTATAGTTCTATACTGAGACTGATTCAGCTGAACTTCAAAAAAAAGTGAAATTTTGTAAGTGACCAATAAGAATTAAAAATCTGCAGCAGTAGCATTGATCTAGATGTTGAAGTATTGGGACAAATTCTGGGCACTTGGATCCAACTGATATCATAGGAGGTGTAGATTTAAAATGAAAGAAGTGCTGTCATTGATATATGCTAATGCAGCATTGTACTTGCTTTTAGCAGTGTGACTCTTGTCTTCAGTCTAAGTTGGTATTACTCCAGAGAGAAATATGTTTCCAAAGAGTTTTAGTTCATTAACTCTAAAGGCGAATCAAAATATGATGTGGATTCTTTTTCCCTTCTTTATCTGTAGAATTCGGAGAAGCGGAAGACTCCTACACAAAGGGTCTACGGGTTTGCCCGGCTTGCTACCTAAAAGACAGATCTGTCTTATTTTCTAACAGAGCTGCTGCGCGAATGAAACAGGTGAATGTACTTTCCTGTTATTGTGAAAATTCAGGAGTCGATACAATGAATCCACAATGCTAAATGCATTCCTCTTGTAGCTCTGAATAAGGCTGGAGGAATTAAGCTGTTGTTTCCTGTTTCTGTTGCTCACTGATCTTTTGCTATTAGACAGATGGTCAGACATTGACTTGAAAAATATAGTACGGCCCCTGGTTTAGAGTAAACTTGTTAGATACCCCAACCCTGTTCATGCTTTAACTAAATTCATAACTAGTCATGAGCCTTGTAACCTCTAAATATGGATAGTGCCTTCATATCACCTGATTAAGACTTGAAGAACACTGATCTGCCATATTTTCTACACTGGCTACATCAGGCTGCTGCATGATTGTCTCCAAGTAACCCATTTGGCATATTGTCTTATGCTTCAGTACTTTGCACATGTTCTCCATCTTCTGTGTAGTCCCTGTGGGACAGCTACCCACATACTATCAAAAAGCATTTATGTGGAAGTAGACAGTGTTGTAGCTGAGGACATAAGAACATGACTATTGACCGATAAATCTGCTTTCTAGATGCAAACTGAGCTGAGTAACTTGTAACCAGTCAATCTAATTTTGTTTCTAATCAGTTAAAAAAAGGGGGTGGGGGAATGTGGGGGAGGGAAGATGAAAAACAAGCTTTAACAAATGAATGGTCTACCAGAACTGCTACATAACTTAAGGGGAGAAATGGGCACAAAGTGAGGAGCCAGTCTGTAGAACCTCTTCGTGCCTGATCCTTCTTCTATTTAGGTCAGTGGGATTTCTGCCAACTGACCTCAATGGGAGCTGGAGCTGGACTTGGCAACAAACATTCATTAATATTTCCTAGAATCACTGGAGTGCTGTGGGCCTAAACTTGTCTAAGGCAGTTGAGTTCCTTGGTAATCAGAGCTAAAGAAAAGTTTAACAATTTTCAGTACTGTTTCTGTACAGGTCAAAGGTATCTTCTTGCTGGAAGGGAAACAAGAATTAAGGAAATAAATATTTCTACTCCTGCTGTTGCTTTTAAAAGTATTCTGAACAGAGCTGTGTCTTTTTTCTAGTTATGTTCAATATTAGCAAATTCTGGGATATTCCACTACTCTAAGGAATGTTGTGATAGCAGATATGCATTAATAGCAGCATATTCTGTTGTAAACTGCTAACAAGTAACAGGGTGAGTATTTGTATTCATGTAGAATCATTCAAACTACACTCAGGCTGCAAGACAGCTTGAGAATTTTGTTTTAATCTGCTTTATAATAGAAGCTGCTAGAGCACCTCAGACATGAAAGCTCTGAACAGCTTCATGTATCCTCAGGCTCCAGATGTTAAAAATCCAAATAGGTGGGGAATTAATCCAGTAATTGCCAATGGCAGCAAGGGGAATAAATGAATTGGATGCAGACCATTAGTGCAGTGTCTCTATAGATTAATGGTGTTGGTTAGGCCAATACTTTGCCCTGGAGGTATCATGTATCCTTGTTTTGAGCGGCTTCCATAATAACTTGTGGTCAGTCAGGTTTTTTGGTTGTTGTTTTTTTTAAATAAGCCTCCTATACATTTTAGTCTTTCTTTCTTTTTTTGAAAACTGGGGGGAGGCTATCTTCTGTCTTTAATATTGTTCTCAGCTCTTGTTCTTTGTTGTTCCGGTAAGTTTTTGGATGGAAACAAGGTCTGTATTTCTTAAACTTTTATCTGTCCTTGTTCTGTTACAAACTGATAACCAGCAGCCAGAAGATGAGGGTCTGACAGAGTCCGTGTGAGATAAGATTATTCCAGGATGACTATGGCAGGACCTTCTTGCATTGTACCTTACAGAGAATTGTACAAATACTCGAGGCAGCAATCTGCTGCAATGTGAGTTGACTCCTGTAGGCAGGGATTGACTTAGGGAATCTGGGGAAGTTTGGACCTAGGTTTCTGCAGTCCTTTGAGTGACCTCATCAGACCAGAATACATGGGTTCAACTGAACCATAGGCCTTATGCATGCAGCCTACTGCTAGCTATTGAATGCAGACTAAATTAGTGAACTGCTGTTATATACCCACAGTCATCCTACGTAGGAATCTCATCTCTTTCCGACTTAGGGATGTCTCCCTTACTGATCATGTCATTCAAGGTTTTTAACAAATATTCAGTTGTTTTGGAATGTCAGACAAATTTATGGGTTCCCAGTCATAAATACATGTGGTTTTAAGCAATTAACAGATTTTGTTTTGTTTTTTTAGGACAAGACAGAAGCTGCCCTAAGTGACTGTAGCAAAGGTATGGTTCTCCCCTCTCTCTTCTGGTATGTGCTGCTACTGTGTAATGTCATTGGTACACAAATTCTGTCAGTCAGAAAGACTACATTTCTCAGCATGGCAGTCCTTTAAAGAACTCCTGGGGAGTTGCAGGGAAGGGGCTGCTATTTTGGATTGATTTTACAAAGTGGCTGTTGGGTTTTCATGACCAGAAGTAACCTCTACTTTCATTTTTACATTCCCTGGTACAAATGAGAATGGTGCCTGTGCTCTGTTAGTAACAAAATCTTTGTTGCAGAAGTTACCATTTCCCTTGCATCTACTTGTGTTAGCTCAGTCCAGTTTTTATTTAATCCTTTAGTTTTAACCCTGAGTTGCAAAAAAACACTGTTACTTTGGAATTAAAGCCATTGCGAAGTCCCCTCATCTAAGCTTTTCGTGTTAATACTGAGCCCAGGTTTTCCAGTTCCATACTGCCTTGTTCTTTCTGCAGCTCTTGGTGAAATATGTTCAGCTGTGTACTGTTGCTTCCACCCACTCACCCACACACAAATTCCTAGTCTTGGACATTTGTTAAGCTCCCTGTGACAGCTGGGACCAAAGTCAAGCCTTAGCAATCAAAGAACTATTGCAGTGGCCAAGTGCCAATACTGCCGAAACCAGGAATATTTTTTACCCAAGTTATACATGTTCTTGACCTTTTCTGAAGGTAGCAAAATGTAACTGGCTTTTATTAGTCTTTCTTTGTCTTTTCTGTCTTTTTGAACATGCTTCTGCTAATTCTGTATTGGCTGAAAGGAAATCGATCTGCTTTCCAGCATTACATGACTTAAACTTTGCCATCATTTGACAGTCTCTAGGGGCTTGGCTCACAAGCTGCAATGCAACACTTAGAGCATAGCAAAGCAATTCACACCGACCTGTATCTTGCTGACTGCAGCATTGTCTTTGTCCTTCCAAAAGAAACAAGCTAGGTTATTTAGCTAGAATATTTCAGGCAGCATTTCTTTCATTAAAAATTATCTTTTTTGTTAAGATTTGGAAAGCATATTGCTTTTCAGTGCCTCTTCCTGTGTTGAAAACTGGGTGGAGAAATGTCTTAAGAGCTTGTCTTTAGCAGGTTACTGTTGCACAGAAGCAAACAGCTTAGCATTCAGTCCCAGCTGCACCAGTAAACAGAGCAGAGAAAAAGGAGATGAAAGGCATAAATTGAATCAGTGGCCTCTCTGGTAGTTTCTAGGGCTAGTCTAACCCTTCATTTATAAATGCTGAGCCAAACTTAACCTGTGATTGGTGTAAATTCAGACGGAGCTCCATTTACGTTAATGGAGCTACTCTTGTCTTATACCAGTAGATGAAAACACTTGTTATCTGAGAACATGTCTCTCCTGTTAAAACTAATATCCTCTTATTTTGCAGCTAGTATGTATAATATATGAGCTTCATGGTTCTCTGCAAATTATATCTTCAGTTTCATGTATAATTGCTACAAATAACCCTACAAATATGTTCCTTTGTGTTTTGTAAATCAGTCCTATGTAGTGTTAAATCCAGCATTATAGATGTGAGACGCACACTTCAGATTTTATCTTGCAAGTGCAGGTTCCTCAAAAGATGTCCTATGTTTGAGCATAGGACCAATTTAGTCTTAAAATATGTTTTAAATGCATCTTTTAAACATAACTTCAAGGCTTGTGTATTGTTTAGCTAGTGACTTATGAGGGATGTAGAAATGCTTCAATAAAAATGAACCACTTTGTTTTAATTTTTTTAGCACTTGAATTGGATCCTAACTATATCAGAGCTCTCCTGAGAAGAGCAGAACTGTATGAAAAGACAGAAAAACTAGATGAAGCCCTGGAGGATTATAAAACAGTCCTAGAAAAAGATCCTTCAGTACATCAAGCAAGAGAAGCTTGCATGGTAAGCCTCTTCAAAGTACCTTGGACTGACTTTAAAATAAGGCCTTCCCATTTCCCAATAAAAATATGCATTGATACTACTTTATTTATACAAGATGCTTCACTTAACTGAGATTGACTCAGCTGTGCAATAAGTGAGGCAAACAGGCTGTTATCTTGGATCGAACTGTGTTTCTGTTCAGTTTCTATCCAGTTGCACTCAGAAACTAAACCATTCTAAACTCTACCCTGCCATATGTCTGTATTAATAGTTAAGATATCAAAGACACAGGCTACTCCTGTATTTTGTCTTTGTGGCTTAGAAAATTGATTGGGACTTCTCCCTTCCTGCCCTCATGTGCTCAATGGTATTATATATAAATTGCTACAAGCCTTCATTACCATAAAGTAATCTACCACATAGGGGATTTTGTTACCCTTGTATAAAGGGAGTGAAAGTAAACATGGGTGTTCCTAGCTGCAGGTGCTGGGAGTACAATGACCATTCATAATTATGCTTCACCTGTTGTTAAACAGCCTCCCCACCCAGTTTGTCACTGTGTACTGCACTTCTTTGTTCTGCTTGACACTTTTTATTTTCCCATAGGATTGGCAATGGTTTAGACATGTTCCGATCAAGGGCTGTAATAAAATAACACTGGAGGTTATTTTGTTAGAAGCAGTGAATATTTATACTTGCTTCCCAAATCCTTCCCCATAGAACTTCAGTCAGATATGTATCTAACAAACCTTGGTTCCAAGTCTGGCTGGTAGTTGCACCTTTGTGTACACTAAGGAAGCAAGTGTTCTGGGGTAAGGCACGTGCTGCATGTCATGCTCATGTCCCTGACCCCAGAATGGAAATTGCTCTGCACACCACTCTACGCTTTGGCAGGATTAATCTACAGGGGAATCTGGAATGGGAGGAACACAGGCAAACAGTACCACTGTTTTAATAGTTTTTCTTTGTCTGGAATTCAGGGCTTTAGAGTCACTTTTCTGAATGGTGGCTATGTAGCCAAGCAGCTAAAACACAGCTGTGGTTTTGTTTTTTTCTTAAGGGAGGTGGGTATAAATAACTAGATTTTAAAATAATTAGTTTGTTTGCATCTTGATCATATCCTTTTACGAAGACAACCCAAAGGAACTTGGGGATCTTGGTGGCTAAATTGGTAGTGCAATTGAATTATCTTCCAGGTCTGCTTCAAAAACGTGAATGGTTTGTTTTTGAAAACGTATTGGCAGCTTTGAGTTATTTTGCTACTAGTAGTTTAAACTTGCTATTTATGGCTAAGGGTATATCCTCTCCTTGCAATGAAATAGCATCTTGTGGTCATAAACAGAAACATGTCCTGATTCAGCTACTTTCTTCATTACTGAGCAAAATGAGGTTTGTGGCTTAGTGCTGTGTTCCAATGTCCACTTCAATGAATGTCACAAATATTGTGGGATTAAAGGTCCCTTGAAGGAATATGTCATAACTCTTTAAGAAGAAGAAAAATGTTCTTTTGAGCTTTTGGACAGTGAGGTTAGCAGAATAAAGGTGAACCCTTAAAACTTCCTGAAACCCAAATCTAACATGTAAATAATCCCTTCTCAATGGGGATTTAAAGTCACTGCCATGGACTGTTGATTCCAGGTTTTAAGCAGCTCTTTGTGTGAAATACCAGCAGGAAGTGCTTTTCTGATGGTATTTAGCACATTTAATTCGTAGTGTGAAAAGTGGTGGTGGATTTGACAAGTTAAAAAAGGTCCTTTCACAAGTCTGGAGTGGCAGGAAGACAGAGCTGTGCTATATGGAATGCTCTTCCTGGAGGCTGCTTTAGTTTTTCTAGAAAAAAGAAAAAGCATAGTGAAAATTAATGCCTCTATCTAGGCTGTATGAAGGGACAGTAGTGCATAGGTGCAAACAGTGTTCTTGAAGAAGTAGGCTCCGGAGAAAGTAACTCCCAAAAACAGTATAGAGGTGGTTGCCCTTTATGGGGCTTGAGCTTTTTGTCTTTGAGTTCTGGCTGGTAAATGTGGGCTCTGTGTGGTTTGGAGGTCAGTTTATTTCCCTCAGAGGGAATATTTGGCAGTTTTTCCAGAGTCCTTCTTTTCCTTGCCTGAATACTGTTATAGCATGTGGTGTGGATGCCGGTTCACATGACTGATCTCTAGGTGCTAGCATTTAATTTTTGATTGGTATAGTCTTGTATTTTTATAAACAGCATGATTTTTTTTATAGATTGAAACTACTTTTGATTACTATTGGTAAAGTCACATTTTTCAGTCTAAAATCTTTCTTAGTATTTTAGTTTGACGGGACAGGGATTTCAAAATTAATACCTAAGTTTAGGCATGTAACAGTACCAGAATGTTCTGCGTTTTTTCCCCCACCCCAGAATATTTTTTAAATCTTAAATTTTTAAGATGGGCTGATCCTCTGAAAGGTCTGATCAATCTCAGAGGAGCTGCAAATAAAATCTAGCCACCTGGATAAAAGCAGCTGAATGGATGTAACATGGAAAGAATATCATGGTGCATAAAGATGTTTCCACAAGCAGACTGGAGAGAATGAGTGTTGCCCTTTCTCCTATATCATGGATAACATGATGCATGACAGTTTTGTGGTATGGTTGGTTGTGTGCAGTTTTAACGCATTCTTTGACGATTTTTGCTTTGTGCATTCTATGCATTTTTGTTCACTAACATTAACCAGTGCTACATCTCTGAGTCTGAGCGGGTTTTTTAATCTGCCTGAGCCCACAGAAGTAAAAAAAAAAAAAAAAAAAAAAAACTTTTATATTAGCAGCAGAGAAGTAAACAAATCAACACTTGTTCCACTTTTAATTTGTTGTTTCTTTTCCTTTTAAAAAATACATTTTATAAATGTGAAGCTTGATCTCGCTTTTCCACAGAAAGGATGAACATGAACCAAGCTTATTTTGAGATTTTAAATAATGACTGGTCTAAATGAACTGCCCAGATCCAAGCCCCCTGGTACTTACGCCAAAGATGGGGGAACGTTTTGAATCTAGCGCTGGCTTCAAGTGGAAACTTCTTATTATGGAATTCATGTAATATGAGTCTCTTTGATCTAGTGGATCTCATATTGGACTGAGAGTGGGAAGACTTAGATTCAAATGTTCTTTCTGCCACATGATCTCAGCCAAAATGCTTCATACTTCTGTGTCTCTGTTTTTCCTCCTACCTTGATGGTTTACCTTGGAAGTTCTATAGGCCAGAGCCTGTCACTTGCTAGATATGTTAACAAGGCAGTACATTGTAGCTCTGGACACTACGTTTAGACTCCAAGTTTGGATGCTTGGATCATGCATATAGGAATAAGCGTAAATTTTAAGAACTGGTGGCTTATAACTGATTAGCAAGGATCCTGGTTTTCCATTTCCCACGGAAGAACAGAGAAAACCACAGATTTCCCATTTTTATCAGAGAAAACACGGATTTTCCCTTTTAGAAGAGAAACCCATGGATTTCCCCCTTTTGCAAAGAGCTCTGCAGGCTGGCAGAGTTCCAGGTCTGGGAGCTGTTTGCAAAAGGGGCAGGGAAACCCTCAACCCTGCCGGGAGGGGAAGGGCAGGACCCGACACACACACTTACTGGAAGCTGCTTCAGGCTCACTCTTCTTGCTGGAAGTAAGTGGGGCTTGGGGGTTATGGGGCAGGGCTGTGGGGGAAGCTGACTAGGGCCTGAGGGAGCAGGGAGGTTTGCAGCCAGCCAGGGACTCTGGCCAGCCTCCCCACTCCTGGCTGCAGTGCTCAGCCGGCTGGAAACCTCCGCCGTTCCTGGTCAGTGGCAAATCTCCCTGCTCCCTCAGCCCCCAGCCAGCTTCAGCACTCCCCCTCTGGGAGGGTGGATTTGCAGTTGGCTGGAAGCAGCGGGGTTTTCCAGCCAGCCAAGCACTCTGGCTGGGAGCAGGCAGGCTGCAAACCCCGCAGGGGTTTTGTGCGGGGCCGTGCACAAAAGCTGCCTGCTGCTGCAAGCTCTGTGCTGCCCTGGACACACTTCCTCTGCATGCATGAGGTCAGTGCGCATCCACCCTGCCCCCACCCCCCACGCAGATCTGGGGGGTGCAGGTCCCCCCTGCTTCTCAGGAGTGCGCACTGCCATTGGGAGCTGGCCCTGTCCAAGCCTGCAGCAGGCAGCAGCGGAGGGGAAGCCGGCTCGTGCTCCTGCTGTAACAGCCGCTGCCGTCCATTGGGGGCAGGCGCCTGTGGACCTGGGTCCCTGGCCCCATAGCCCTGGCAGTTGGGGGCTCCCTCCAGCAGGGCTGGGGGGCAGGGGCTGTGGGTGGGGGGCAAGGGGTACAAGCAAGGATGGGGAGGGGGAGCATTTAATTTTAACCACGGATTTGGGGATTTTTATGAGTGAATTTGCAATTTTTTTATCAGAGAATTTGTCAAATTTTTTTCACAGAAAACCAGGATCCCTGCTGATTAGATTCAGACTTTGGTGCAGCTAGGTATGAAGTAGGGGTAAACTGATGGAGATTTTTGGGCCCAATACGAATAGCTGATTTTTTAAGGAGGCATATTGGCTGATACCAATCTAATTTCCAATATGCAGCTTTTCAGCTTGAAGAGCTGCATCTAGCTGGTAAGTCAGGTGTGGTGGAAGGGGAGGGGGGGGAGAGAAGGGGTGTGTGGGGGAGCAGATTGAGGCCCCTTCAGTGATGGAGAGAGTGAGGCTAGGGCTGGGCCTGGGGCAGGTGCTGCCCAGCTGGCGGGGAGGGGTACGGGACATAGCCACAAGTGGCTCGTCCGGGGGGGGTGTCCCCCATAGGTGCGTGGCATGGGGCAGGCTGCAGCTGCAGGCTGCGTGGCGGGAGCTACCCTCCACCCCACCCCCGTGTGCTC